TTTTTTTTTTTAAATTCTGGACACGGGGCGTGACTCCAGATTTTTGGGGCCTTTTGGGCCCTGAAAAGGGTTTTCATTGTGGGGTCTGATAGTGGGTGCTGGGCCCAACCCCTTATATAGCTTCCCTTTGGGTGTTTTTCTTTTATAGTTCCTTATAAATAGTAGTCACGAAAGCGCTGGAATTTCCTATTCTTTCAGAGTGGTTTTTTTCATATAAATTTCTATAATTATATATACCTTTATATATATATATATATATATATAAATATATTTATATATATATATAAATATATATATAAAAATAATATATATACACACCAACACACACAACAACACACCCCTCTCTGGGTTTCCAATTTTCTACTATTCTTTTTCGTTTTTTTTCCTGTTATTTCCTGGAGAAGGGAACAAATTCTTCCTCCCAAAACCATGCGTGTTGCAAAGGCGACTAAAAAAACCCGGGGGCAAGGGGCAGTAACCCCTTCTCCTGTAAAATTTCAAATTTAAAAAAAGAACTTTTTTTTTTTCTTTTTTGGGGGAAACCCCGCCTGGTGGGATATGGCGGTTTTTTTGGAAAAAAAATTTCAAATATTTAAAAGTTGCTACTACACCCTACTCTATTTTTTTTTATTATAATTATTACTTCAAGGGAAAGAAGGGGGGTTTAAGTTTCAGTTTTAAAAATGTAGGTAAAGCACCCTTCTGGCAAACAGTGAGGAGTGAATGACGTGAAAGTTTTTCATTTTCGGGGGACCCCCCCCTTGGGGGGAATCGGCCAGTGGGGATAAAAAAAAAAATAAAGGGAAAGAACTTAAAACCATAGAGGTCCATACAGTTCCTGGGGAAAGAGGTACATAATTAGATTTGATCAAGAAAGGAGGTGAAAGATGGTGCTTTACTTTTGGAAAATTTACAATTGGACTGGAGCCATGCACCCGGGTAATGGGGAGAGGCAAAACACAAAGGGATTGAAAATTTAAAAACCCCCTCTTCACTTAGCTCCGTCTACTGAAAGACTCGGGCTATGACGGGCTCTCTGACAATAGCATACCTTAATAATGTACAGTAAAGCGGCACTTTTACTGCAGGTTAGGTTCCGGCTAACCACCAAAAGAAGAACCCATTTTTTTTTACTTATAAATCACATAAATGCCGAGTAACAAGTTTACACTAACACATTTTAACACACAAAAACTTTTTAAATTTCCCAGTAGAACAGGGAATTAAAAAAACAAAAAAAATAAAATACATCAAGTACTGTACATTCATTACTCCTTTAAAATATTTATAGCTCAATGTGGGGGTAGTAGTAAAATTTTTTTTTAGGAATCAGGGCAGGGAGCCAACAGGTGACAAAAAAGCCCCTCTGGGCACATAACTACACCTACCTACATAGCTCACAATATTTAAAGAGGGCCCCGAAATATTATTATCTCGACAACTTTTTTTCACTGGTTAAATCATTTCTAACAACTACAAAACAAAGGGAAAGTAAGGTAAAGTCATGCTAAATTGCAAACAAAAATGAAGCAAAAAGGGGGTCACTTTTCAAAGGCGGGCGAAACACATTTTCTCGGGGTGCTGGACCAGAAAAAACGAATTTTTTTTTTCCCCCCCCGGGTACCACACCTCAAAATTTTTTGTGAAATTTATTTACTGTGATGTATCTTTTTTATGCATGTAACGGTTTCTTATATAATTTTTAAGAAAATATCATAGATGGATTGATGAAAAAGTCTAATTAACGAAAAAAGACATTTAATGTGCCCAAAGTGATTATTATTAATTATGTACTATTAGTTTATATTACATGGCGTCAAACTAAGGGACACTCTTAGTGATTTCAAAGGGACTTTCATGCCAGCACAGTGTAAAGTTATTTAAGTAAAAGGGACCATAGTAAGTATTTAACCCCAAAACAAAAAAATAAACAATAACTTTAACTTTAAAATTTTTGGAAAGTTTCCAAACATAAATGGAGAGATTTGGGGCATGGAGAGTTAAACAAACCCGGTGGCGTCAGTGACCATATAGAAAGTCAGGTGGGGGGAGTCATCACAAGTTTTGATCATAATTTGAAATGTCGTAATGGGGGCCGTAAGGGGGAAAACGTAAAATATACTAAAAATGTTATAGATGATGCAAAGGTGACCCTCGACTTACGAAGGCCTCATCTTACGATAAAATCGACTTATGAAGCTTTTCAGCGTAAAAATTTTACCTTGACGTACGATGAAAAACTCTACTTACATCATTCATCCTGGGCACGGCTGTCTGGGCCGTCTGGCCTGAGTGCCTCGGCTAAGCTAGTGTGACACTGTTTACAAGCCAGGACGGACGATTGCATGTATACATTCGATAAATTTTGTATTATTCCAGTATTTTTGGAGCTTCTAACTGCTAAATAAGCCACCAAGGGCCCATAGAAAGCTTCTAATGCCAACCCTGTGGTAAAAAGGGTGCGAAATACTATCATACCACGTTCAGCTGATGCTACACCACGGTCAGCTGCTGCTGTACCACCGTCAGCTGCTGCTGTACCACCGTCAGCTGCTGCTGTACCACCATCAGCTGCTGCTGTACCACCATCAGCTGCTGCTGTACCACCATCAGCTGCTGCTGTAAGACCGTCAGCTGCTGCTGTACCACCATCAGCTGCTGCTGTACCACCGTCAGCTGCTGCTGTACCACCATCAGCTGCTGCTGTACCACCATCAGCTGCTGCTGTACCACCATCAGCTGCTGCTGTACCACCGTCAGCTGCTGCTGTACCATGGTCAGCTGCTGCTGTACCACGGTCAGCTGCTGCTGCTGCAGCACCGTCAGCCACTTCTGTAGCACCGTCAGCTGCTGCTGTACCACGGTCAGCTGCTGCTGTAGCACCGTCAGCTGCTGCTGTACCATGGTCAGCTGCTGCTGCTGCTGCTGTAGCACCGTCAGCTGCTGCTGCTGCTGTAACACCGTCAGCTGCTGCTGCTGCTGCTGTAACACCGTCAGCTGCTGCTGCTGCTGCTGCTGCTGTAACACCGTCAGCTGCTGCTGCTGCTGCTGTAACACCGTCAGCTGCTGCTGCACCACGGTAAGCTGTACTACTCGGGGATGTGGAGAGACTGTTGTTGGTGTGGCTTATTGAGAATACTGAGAAACAATTAACCCCAGAGGGTTAGCTACCCAGGATAACCCAAGAAAGTCAGTGTGTCATTGAGGACTAACTTATTTCCATTGGGGTCCTTAATCTCGTCCCCCAGGATGCGACCCACACCAGTCAACTAACACCCAGGTGAACAGGTAAAAATGCCTCCAACTAGTGCTCATATTGGTGAATTTAAGACCAGCAAAGGTTTGTTTGAGAAATTTAAGAATCGTAGTGTCATACACAGTGTGATAAGGCATGGTGAAGCTGAAAAATTCCAACCCCAACAAGTGTTCAATTGCGACAAAACAGGCCTGTTCTGGAAGAAAATGCCAAACAGGACATACATACTCAGGAGGAAAAGGCACTCCCAAGACACAAGCCTATGAAAGACAGGCTAACTTTCTTGTTTTGTTGTAATGCTAGTGGGGATTGCAAAGTGAAGCCTTTACTCATGTATCACCCTGAAAATCCTAGGGTATTCAAGAAAAAACAGTGTCTCATCACTACATCTTCAATAAAGGTGTCATTTATTCTTCGTTTAGTACAGTAGTACATGCACAATATATATTGTGCATGTATCATTCTTTTTGTGTGTAGGAAAATGTATATTTCATGTGGTAAAATTTTTTTTTTCATACTTTTGTGTGTCTGGAATGGATTAATTGATTTCCATTATTTCTTATGGGGAAAATTAATTCAACTTACGGTAATTTCGTCTAACAATGAGCTCTCTGGAACTGATTAATATCTTAAGTCGAGGGTCCACTGTACTTGATAAAACCTCTTGTAAGCGAAACAACTTATTAAATAAAAGGTCTGCTTTTGTTCTAAGCTTATATTTTTTCTACTAGCCTAGACCAAAGGAGGAGCCAGAGATGTGAGTAGGGAGGTTAACAAAGTTTCTCATTTCAAACACTGCAAGGACTTCTGATGAAGTCCTCTGTACAAGATGTTGGTCGAGGTCACCAATGAAGCAGAGGGGAGTTCACATTTTTCATCAGAAGTGTGATGGTGTCTGCTTGTTGCCACTGAGGTCTATACAATGCACATGCTAGTATGAAGATACTAATGTTTATACATAGATTGATGAACATCTTTTCCAGATGATCAGAAATGGCAACATCAATTAGCTGGGCATGTACACTTTTACAAAAAGTTAATGGCAACACCTCCTCATCCTTGCCTTTCTAGTCTTATCCATGAGGTGTAGCCAGTCCTGGCACACAAAAGTATCTCAATAATGGTGATCACATCAGGATGAAGTGTTCATGAAACTGTGTGAGCTTGATGTCACTGGTAATAAAGACTAATGTTGGTAGAGAGGATACTGACAGACTGGCTCCTCATGTTTGTGTTCAGCTTGAGCAGATAGGTGTGCAAGCTGGTTGCCCCTGAGACAGGAAGGACACTGGGATATAACTTTATGGTCTTGATAAGGCACAAAACCACCTCGTCCCCTTTTTCTCTCCCCCCCCCCCTCACTTGTTCATTCTCAATCACTCTCACTTACTCATCTACTAGGCAGTTGTTGCCTTATATAGCTTACATGTTTATATAACCATCACAACCAGGTTACACCAGCATGTCTTTAAGGAATTTATTTTAATTTTACCTTAGTCTTTCATTTTGATTCTGTTTTCTTTCTCCTTATTTTCACTCTTACACTCCATTTTTTTTTTATCTCCTTACCCCATTATTTGCATTCTTTATTCCCCTTCCTCCCTTTTACCCCTCTCTCTCACTTTCACTAGTCATACAAGGTGTCTTCTGACTCTAAGTTCTACTTCACTTCAGTGACATGAAATGCATCAGTAAACACACAGCACATATACAATTATCCTTTTTAAAATAAATATGTACTTACCCAAAGGTCATATTACGTCTTGCAACACCCCTACTAATTCCACGACCTTGATGAGGTATTCTACGAACTCCATGCCTGGATCCAGAAGGTTCATCGTAAAAAATTGTTAAGGAAGATTTACTGTTACAACATTTAAAAGATAAGCTGTTTCCCTAAATTTAGTTTTGTGATTATGAGGCAGATGCACTCTCAAGGTTTAGTTAATGTTCTCAACACAACCTTCAAAGAAACCTAAGTTCCTCATTTCTACACTTCATCCTCTATTCTACATCACTCACACATATAGCTATATGAACAAGATTAATCTACAAACACAAAATGCCGAACTCCAGCTACCCAATAATCATTCCTCATTTCCATGATAAAATCCACAGGCTACATTTATGAGTATCATCAGTTGAACGTGTGTGTGGTGCACTTACCTATTTGCAGTTGCTGGGGTCTGATGCCAGCCCCACTTCTCAACTAGCTACCAGCCAGATTCACTCCTTCCTAGCTTTATGGGCCCTATCATACCTGCTCTTAAAACTATGTATGGAGCCTGACTGACTCCACACTTCAATAAGATCATTCCAGGTCTCAACAACTCACTGAAAAAATATTTCCTGATATCCCTGTGGCTTGCTTTGGTGGGATATGACCGGTTTGTTGAAAGAAGATGATCCCTGTGGCTCATTTGTCTCCTTACCTGTTTTTAACCTCTCAGGATCTGATATTCTATGCCTGCCCTGGTTCTTCTGCCCTCCAGTGTATTGAGATTTGATTTCATTCACCTCTTTTCATTGCATATACCCCTTAGCTCTGAAATAAGCCTAACTGCATACTTGTACACTGTCTACCATTTCTGAACATGCTTTTTCAAATGCAGGTTCCATACTGGAGCGACATACTCCAGGATGGGCCTAACCTATGTTGTATAAAGTACAGTGAACCCCTGGTTATCGGCTGCTTCTGTTATCAGCCAACTCGGTGATCAACCGGTTTTTCAGCGCCCAGTTATCGGGTGTTAATTTGGCGATCAGCTGTTTGGGATGCATCCGTCTGACGGCTGGGGCCGCTTGCGCGTCAGTATGGCTGTTTCTTTCGGTGTGTGAGAAAGCTTCTGATCATACATCCAAACATCTCGCTTGTTTTCCACTGTTTTTTTGTGGTTTTTTGCTGTGCAACTGCAAAATAAGTAACCATGACTCCAAAGAAAGTTCCTGTGGTAAAGAAAGTGAGAAACACCATGGAATTCAAGCACGAAGTGTAGCAGGCATGCAGGGAATGCAGCAGGCATGCAGGGAATGCAGCAGGCATGCAGGGAGTGTAACAGGCATGCAAGGAGTGTAACAGGCATGCAAGGAGTGTAGCAGGCATGCAGGGAGTGTAGCAGACATACAGGGAGTGTAGCAGGCATGCAGGGAGTGTAGCAGACATACAGGGAGTGTAGCAGACATGCAGGAAGTGTAACAGGCATGCAAGGAATGTAACAGGCATGCAGGGGGTGTAACAGGCATGCAGGGAGTGTAGCAGGCATGCAGGGAGTGTAGCAGGCATGCAGGAAGTGTAGCAGGCATGCAGGAAGTGTAGCAGGCATGCAGGAAGTGTAGCAGGCATGCAGAAAGTGTAGCAGGCATTCCAGAAGCCAGCATTAGTCTTCAATAAAAGTATGTAATGCTGACTGAATTGTTAAAAAAATTATTTTTTGGTGAATATTTTTGTCTGGAACGGATTAATTGTAATTACATTAATTCTTATGGGAAATATTATTTTGGTTTTTGGCCATTTCGGTTTTAGGACAAGCTTCTGGAACGGATTACGGCTGATAACCGAGGGTTCACTGTACCTGGAAAGACTACTGAGATTCCTGAAGGCCACTCTTAGATTTGCCAAGCAAGCATTGGCTGCAGAAGTTATTTGGTTGATGCGAGCCTCTGGCAAAATGCTAGGCGCTATGCTTACCCCTAGGTCTTTCTCTGAATGAGTTCTTGCAACCTCTGTCCCCCAAGACTATACACAGTATCCAATCTTCTAGCCCCTTCCACAATCTTCCTGACCTTGCATTTGTTGGGAATGAATTCAAGGAACAACTTATTTCACCCATTTTGCAGTTTGTTCATATCCATTTGTAGCCTTTCCCTGTCCTTGTCCTTTTCATTCTTCCCATCAGTTTTACATCATCAGGAAGCAGGGATGAAAATAAATGATATAAAATACCGACATTATGGAAACAAACATATATGCAGTTTAATGTGATCCTTTATTGACAACGTTTTGCCCACACAGTGGGCTTTTTCAAGTCACAAACAGATCTACCTGGGGTGGAAGGCACGGGAGTATTTATAGTCAGGTTCAGAATGTTGAGGTCAGGTGGAGAATGCTGCATCTGATGATCCACTGGGTGGGGTTATAGAATCTTGGGTAGCTTGGCAGGGGTATTGGACAAGTCGTGAGTAGACCTTCTGCAGTGTTCTATGTTCTTATGTGGGATAGCGATGAAGAAGTTTCTTGGCAAGTGGTTCAGCTATGTTATAGAAGCCATTGTTCTGGTTGAAATTGTTGGTTATAGAGATAAGCGATGATTCCAGGATTCTTTGGTACTGAGTGTTGTCTTCTGTGGCGATAAGTCTTGAGTTTCTGTAGTTAATTAAATGGTTGTGTGAATTGCGATGTTGTACACAGGCATTCCTTGTATCGTCAGCCCTGCTTGCGTATTGGTGTTCTTAAATACATATTTCAGAATACCAATATGCAAGCAGGGCTGAAAATACAAGGAATGCCTGTGTACAACATCACAATTCACACAACCATTTAATTAACTACAGAAACTCAAGACTTATCGCCACAGAAGACAATACTCAGTACCAAAGAATCCTGGAATCATCGCTTATCTCTATAACCAACAATTTCAACCAGAACAATGGCTTCTATAACATAGCTGAACCACTTGCCAAGATCTAGATCTCTGGCAACTGTAGTGTTCATTGACTTCTTGCAGATCTCAGCAAGTGGTTGGGGGAATGCTTTTGTTTAATCTTGCAGAATCCAAGGTGACACCTTGTTAGGTTCCACTGCCTTTGATGTATTCAGCTCCAAGTTTTTTTTTTTTCCACTTCTTACCTTGTCTGTAAAGTGTTCAGTATCTGTTAGTGTACTCTTTTCCCTAGGCTTTCTGACATTGCCCAGTTTTGACTAAGAAAACCTCTCTGAATCATTTGTTTAGCATTTCACCGACTTCTTTATCATTTCCCATAAACTCTCCTCCTCCTTCCTGGAGTTGAATTACCTGGTCTTTTACTTTTGTCTTACTTCTGATGAGGCTGTGAAGCAGTTTTAGTTCAGTCTTGGCCTTAGCAACTATTTCATTTTCAAACTCACTCTCAGCTTCTCTCCTCACCCTTGCATATTCATTTCTGGCTAATTTGCTCACTTCTCTGTTTTTATGTCCTTCACTTCTTGTAGTTTTTCCACACTCTTATGTTTCTCTTTTTTTCTTGCCTCTTTGCATCTCTAGTTAAACGAAGGGCTCTCTTTTGTCTTTGCTATTTCTCCATCTGTCTTCTGGGTATGAAGTTCTTTACCTCCTGGCATTTTCCAATTATATACCCCACCATCTTATCTACTGATTTTCCTTCCAGTTTCCAGTATCTGGGAATTCCCTCACCCCTGTTAAGTTACCCCTTCTAAAGTCTGGCCTCTTTTGCCCTCTATTTGCCAATCTTCCTGCTACATTTAGTTCCATAAAAATACTTGAAGATCATCACTGCATGGTCTTCCGTGGTGGTAGTTTTGTATCTAGAAATGGAGTCCCATGGGGTCTCTTATTCTATTTCCTTTATGTTTAATATATTTATGGTAATATGCTAAGTCAAGTCTTGCTGGTTCATAGTTTTCTTGTTATATCCTTAACATGCTGACACAACGTTTACCTTGAACTTAGCCTTCCACACTTCTGGTCCCCCAGTTCTCCCAACCTATCTCTGTGATTGAAATCACTCATGATGAATAGCACTCTCTAGCCCTGTGGGCACTCACTGCTGCTCTCAGCTATGATGTCAACTATTGTTTTGTTGTTGTCTTTGTATTCTTGCCTCAGTCTCAAGTTAGGTGGCAGGTTGAATGTCACTGCAACTACTACTTTTGATCTTCCAATCTTGACTAAGCCCACTACGAAGCTGTGTGTCTACTGTCTGTTTATTCCTCTCACTTCTTCAAAGCTAAATTGACTTCTATTTAGCAGTGCCACTCTTCTGCCTTTCCTGTTTTGTTTGTCTTTCCTTATCACCTGATCTTCAGCTGGAGATATGGTGTCTGATATTGTGTAGCTCAGCTTTATCTCTGTGATAAGCTCATTTGACAGGCATGGAGGAAGGATCAGGGTCAGAGTGCATGTTGCCAACAGGGATGTGATCAGGGAAGGGGAAGGGAGTGAGGGATATTGATAAAGGGGAAGGGGGGAGGGGCTGGTGTTAGTGTTGATGCTGGTATGGTGGTGAGTGGTCCAGAGTTGTGCTAGCTTGGAAAGGATTGGAGCCATTTCTGGAATAGTTCTTTGAGGTTGGAAGTTCCCTTCTTCTGGTCCCTCCACAGCTGCTTTGGATAATTCCTCATTGCCTACCATTAACACACATGTCCACTTCTCATGCATTCATCGCCATCTAGGTCACATGTAGCCTACATTCATACACTTCTTGCTGTAACACGTACACACATTTACTGAAGAGGATCTCTAAGGCCAAGAATCACAAAATACTCTTTTTACTTGTTTAAATTTCATGTCCAAGCAGTTTCTCACTTTTCATTAATAAGTGTTTATGACACTAATCTAAGCATTGGAATACATATACCTCTTGGTGTATATACCCTAAAATTAACGCAATATGAACTCTCTATAAAATTCTCTACATAAATAATAGGCATGAGTGACTACATAAAAGGATATGAGGTCTCTCGGAGCACCTGAGCGATGGTCTAACGTGAGGTGAGCTGCAAAGTCGTCTGTTACGTGGTTGGGATCTCCTCCAGGCACAGATGCACATATTGGACAAACCTGGAAATATAAGGTGTTGTTTAGAATAAAACATAAATATAAGAAGGGTGGATTATTTGCAGAGTAAAAGAGAGGTGAAAAGAGTGGAGAGGGGGTGGAAAAGGATAGAAAACGATAGTGGGTGAGGTGCTGTCAACTAATTTTGCCGAGATTAAGAATAATTTTTGGAGTGAGATAAATAGGTTAAGAAAGCCTAGAGAATGAATGGATTTGACAGTTAAGTTAGTAGATGGGGAGTCAGAGATATTGAAAAGATGACAAGAATATTTTGAGGAACTGTTAAATGCTGATGATGAGAGGGAGGAAGTAATTTCATGCACTGGCCAGGGAGGTATAACATCTTCCAGGAGTGAAGAGCTGGATGTGAGTGCGGGGGAGGTGCGCGAGGCACTGGGTACAATAATAGGTGGTAAAGCAGCTGGAGCTGATGGGATAATGACAGAAATGTTAAAAGGGTGGATCTAGTTTTAGAGTGGTTGGTACTTTTGTTCAGTACCTAGGGGATTGTTTGGTATCAAGGGACTGGCAGAGAGCATGTATAGTTCCTTTATATAAATGGAAGGGGGACAAAAGATTGTAAAAATTATGGGGGAATAAGTTTACTGAAAGGTTAGTGGACGAGTTTGGGAGGGTGTGTAAAGGCAGAAAGTTGAAAGTGAACATAGATAAGAATAAGGCAATGAGGGTATCAAATGATTTAGTTAAGAAAAATTGGATATCACATTGTGGGAAGGGAGTATGGAAGAAGTGAATGTGTTCATATATTTGGAGGTTGACTTGTCAGCAGAAGGATTTATGAAGGATGAGGTTAACCATGGAATTAATGAAGGAAAAAAGGTGAGTGGTGTTTTGAGGTATCTGTGGAGACAAAAAAACGTTATTCATGGAGGCAAAGAAGGGAATGTACAAGAGTATAGTGGTACTAACACACTTATATGGGTGTGAAGCATGAGTTGTAAATGCTGCAGCAAGGAGGAGGCTGGAGGCAGTGGAGATTTCGTGCCTAAGGGCAATGTGTGGTGTAAACATTATGCAGAGAATTCTTAGTGGAAATTAGATGTGGAGTTACTAAAAGTGTTGTTCAGAGGGCTGAAGAGGGGTTGCTGTGGTGGTTTGGGCATTTGGAGAGGATGGAGCAAAATAGGATGACTTGGAGGGTGTATAAATCTGTAGTGGAGGGGAGGAGGGGTAGGAGACATCCTAGGAAAGGATGGAGGGTAGTGAAAGAGGTTTTGTGTGCAAGGGGCTTGGACATGCAATAGGCACACGTGAGCATGTTTGACAGGAGTGAATGGAGACGAATGGTTTTTGGGGCCTGACGAGCTGTTGCAGTGTGAGCAGGGTAATATTTTGTGAAGGGATTTAGCAAAACCAATTAGTCGGACTTGAGTCCTGGAAGTGGGAAGTATAATGGAGTATAATGGAGATACTGGCTTTCTGAAGTGACATCTAAACTGCCATATCTGAGTGCCTCTGCAAAGATAGTGATTGTGTGTAAATGATGGTGAAAGTGTTTTTCTTTCTTTTATGGGTCACCCTGCCTCGGTGGGAGACGGCTGATGTGTTGAGAAAAAAACCCTATTGATGCTGTAAAACAATAAGAGAATGGGCGAATGATTGCTGTTTCCACTAACCTTCCAAATACTCTTAACTTTATTTTTAAAAATTACAGAAAAATAATGTTTTGGAGGGCATGTAAAAGAAGGAAATTAAAACTGAACAGAGGAAAGAAAAGGTGATGAGCATACCAAAAATTTAGGCAATGAAAGATTGGAAATCAGAGTAGAGGGAGGAAGTATGAAGGAAATAAGCATGTTTAGACAACTGGGATTAGACTCGTCAGCTAGTCCAATCCCAAGGGAATGAAGCTGAGTGGTGCAGTGAGGCATCTGGAAATAAAGAAAGTTATCCAAGGAGGCAAAAAGGGAAATGTATGAGACTATAGTGGTATCAATGCTCTTATATGGGTGTGAAGCATGGCTTGTGAACATTGCAATAAAGAGAAAGCTGGAGGAAGTGGAAATATGCCTGAGGGGAATGTGTGGTGTGAATATTGTGAACAGAATTTATAGCTTGGAGACTAGAAAGTGTGGGGTTACTAAAAGTATTATCCAAAGGGCAGAAAAAGGGTTGCTGAGGTGGTTCAGACATTTAGAGAGGATGGAATAAAATAGGACAACTTGGAGATTGTACAAATCTGGAGGGAAGGTGGGGTAGGGGTCATCCTAGGAAAGATTAGAGTTAAAGGATAAAGGAGGCTTTGTATGCGAGGGACTTAGGCACCTAGCAAGCGTATGTGAGCAAGTCAGATAGGAGTGAGTGGAGGCAAGTGGGTTTTAGGAATTAATGTGCTGTTGGAGTGTGAGCAAGGTAACATTTATGATGGGATTCAGGATAACCTGGAAGTGTGGGTAATGGTGAAAGTGTTTCTTCTTTTTCACATTACCCTACTTCAATGTGTTGAATCGTGAAATTCAGTACATTACATAGTGAAGTCCGGCATATTTCATTTTTGCCTAACATATTGTACATTATGAAAAATTTTTTTTTTTTTTTTTACCATATTCCTATCCACATTCCTCAAGAATTTTATACAGTTTGCATCTTTAGCATTCACATTTCTTAGTACAGCCTCTCCTCACTTAACACTTTCAGGGTCGAGACCCCCAATCCTTAACTCATCCTCAGGGTCTCAAAAAAAAAAAAAAAAAAAAAAAAAAAAAAAAAAAAAAAAAAAAAAAAAAAAAAAAAAAGGCAATGGCACCAAAAGTACAAAATTTGATGGAAAATTTAAAAAATTACGCTCTCGCAAAGTTAGTGATATCAGCGATATTTGTGCATCGGTGATTTCGCCCACTTTGAGCAATATTTTCGGCCAATTCCATTGTTTCACTCGACTAAAATCATAGCTATTTCGCTAGAATTCCATCTGTTCTATCGATTGAGTACAAGAAACTGCCCATTTACCGATTTCAACTACCCAATAAATTGATCAAAAATTGGCAATTTGGCCAATTTCACAAAAATTTCAAAAGATGCCATTTTCAAAATAGGGTCCAGAATAAAAAAGACACACATTCCAGGCACTAAAATAACATTTTCTCTGTTCATTAGTCACATCTCCAGGCCCCTCTTATATTACTCTTGCTTTCCATTTTGAATTTTTATTCTCACAAAAAAATAGAGATTTACTGTTAAGCAGACTACTGCTTAACAAAATATTAGATTCGCCAGTTGACGAGTGGTGTGATTTGTTTACTCTTGAACACGGGTAAAAATCTAACATTTCCACTACTTGGAGCTCAATTTTAAGGTACTTTTCATCATGAAACCAATCAAAATCATCTCTATTTCTGTAATATACCTTCCAATCTATCAAATGAGACCAAGAAAGAGAGATTACAACCATAAATACCATACGAAAATACACTACATAGTTTCTGTTTTAAACCAAAAACACAGTGTTTTCTCTCTTTATGCACTGCATGCTGTAGGATTTTTAATATACTGCGCACACTGACCACGCAGACCAATTCTTTCACATGTAGGCCTACCAGTTTTCTTCCACCAGGTTTGAAGGCGCTAGAATTTTGGTGTATAAATATGGGACTGATACTGGCTCTCAAGCCGTACATATATGGGACCAACCCTGAAAGGGTTAACGACGAAGTTCTGTTCTTAAGACCATGTTGCTAAGTGAGGAGAGTATTATAATGGTAGTGGGTTTGTGTCAACCATCTCTGATAATGTTTTAATATCACCTTTGCATGATTTATATTTCTGGTAGGTATATTTTTAAATGTTTATACAGCAGTGTACTGTATATTGTAATAAACAGAACAGAGGAAATCAGCTCTAATTTACACTGTTTAGGTATGCATACTGGTCAGAGCGCCAGTCATAAGTCTGAGTCATTGGTAAACAAGTATGTCCCTAAGTGAGAGGAAGCTGTATTATATTTGCATATACGACTTCCAATGTCAATTTCTGTCAATAACCCCTAATCCCTTACCCTGTCTAATACCTAATATTCTATCATGTAATCTCTATTCCTCATGTAGCTGATTACCACTTTTCCCAACTTTCATTACAAGGCACTTAGCTACATTAAATTCTATCATCTATCTACCACTCTATTTTCTCATCTCACTTAAGCCTTCTTGTAGGGATTTACAGTAATTTTTGTTTGCTTATGTTGCTTAAGATGTTTGTATCATTTGGAAATAAGTTCATATTGTTTTCTATACCCTCTGGCAAATCATCAGGGCAAGCAGAAGGCATCCCACCAAGGATATTGCCTATGTGATTACTATACCTCTTTGTAGATACAAAAATATAACTATTGCTGTAGTTTTTTCTGTCACTGAATGGTTTGTTATGTTAGTTCTTAATCCTCTCAGTGTCTCATACGTAGATCTATGTTACTACTGTCAGGAGTCATTTACACAGATCTACACTTCAAATCCAGTGCAAGAGGCCTGGTAGGCCTACATATGAAATACAAAATGGGTCTGCATGGTAACTGTATGCAGTACATAAAAAATCTGGACCCTACAGTGCATTGTTCACCAAGATGTGCAGATGCAAAGGCCTCGCTCTCAGGCAAATTGTTTCTAAATGTAGTGACCATAAGTGATGCTCAGGAAGCCAGAAATATTGCTGAAACCCCCAATAATCCACAACCATCCATGTCTGTAGCTGGTTCATCTAAGAACACATTCATCTCCACCATGCTGTAAGTGAAAGCTCATATTTTTCTGAAGCCTGGGCTCACATATGAGTTAAGGTTGATGAGTGTGATGTGGATTTTAATTTCCTAACAATCAATGACCACTCTAGTAGCATTGGCAATGATTATTATTCAACTGTGAAGCACCAATTTATATGGTGCTGCATGTAGTCTGGTAGTGTGCCCAATGCTATTCCTAGGGGACGAAGAACCTCCCAGGACCCAACATCGGCGACAGATAATGATAGTAATGATGATAGTGCATTGGTTG